TTCGGGGAAAATCAACCAAGAGAAAAAAGGAAAGTAAACGATGACCGTTAATCATAACCAGTCTCAAAGATACTAAGCGAATACTCATAACAGGACACAAATAGGAAACTTAATTTTACAAGGACAAAGAAAAACCATCATGTATCATTGTACATCAATTAAATTAGCAAAAGGAATAAAAAATAAATACTGAGTAGATATCTGCAAAAAAATGGTCCTTATCACTTGTAACTAGTTTATTCTCCAAAGGACAGTCTGGGCCAGGGATATAGCTTAGTGGTGTAAGCGCCTACCTGGCAAGAGTAAGGTCCTGAGTTTGATTCCCAGTACCAAAAAATAAAAATAAAAAAGGACAGTCTGCCATTAGCTGTAACTTTAAGTCAATATGAATAACACTCCTGGCATGTACCACATACAGCTCTGGGTACCAGCTGTAAAACTGATCATTCACCCTTACCTCCTTGCTATAGTTTGCACACGGCCTCCAGAGTTCATGTGTTTATCCCCAAATTTTCATAGGTTAACAGTATTTGGATTGGGGCCTGTAGAAGGTAATTAGGGTTACATGAGGTCATGGAACCAGACCCTTATGATGGGATTACTGACTTTATAAGAAGAGGAGTGACAAACCTTGTATGTCCTCCACCACATTATGACAAATCAGGAAGGCCCTCTTAGTGCTATCATCTTGATAATAGATTTCCCAAGGAGCTGAACTGTTAGAAGTAAATCTCTCTCCTTTATAAATTACCCCATCTGTAGTGTTCTGTGATAGCAGCAGAAAACAGACCAAGACACTCCTTAATCTGCTCTGCACTCTCTTGCCTCTAAAAGTCTTGGGGTTTGGTCTTTGACATTCATTGTACTTTCTCCAAATGAACTCATACGGTCCCATGTCCCGTATCATTAAATACTGTCTCTAAGCTGATGAGTCCCAAGTTAGCATTTTATCCCCAACCTGAAGTTCCACCCTCTCCTACCCAACTGCCTACTCCACGTCTCCATTTGAATGTCTAATTAGCCTCTCAAACCCGCTTCATTCCTGTGCTCCAAGTGTGGTACCACCTGTCTTCCTAACTTTAAGGCAGTGGCACCACCATCTACCTAGTTGCTCAAGTAAAAGCGAAGGTGTTTTTAATTCTTTTTTCCTGTATACCCCTGAAATCTATCAATAACTCCTGAAGTGTTCACCTCCAGAATATTTCAGTACCTATTTTTCTCCTCTGCAGCCCTGGCCTAACTCCTCATCTCACATAGACTCCTCTGGTTGCCTGCTACTGGTCTCTCTGCTTCCACTCTTTCTCTTTACATCTCAACTGTATGACAGCTGAAATTGACTTTCAAAAAAATAGAATTCAGGTTATGCATAAACCTCCTGGTGGTTTTTGATAATATCAGAAATATAATTGATGTGAACGTCGTCGTCTCACCTTGCAAAGAACTTCGAGGGCCCTGCCCAGTCTGACCTCATCCTCTATGGTCAGGATAACCATCCTCAACCCAGTGGCCTGGA